GGGTGACGCGCTGGGTGTCCGGGCAGTGGCGGAACAAGAAGCGGCCCCCGGCGCTCCGGCCGCCCCGGACGCTGGCGCTGGCCGACAAGGTGGCGAACCGCCGGGAGCAGCTGACAGGTGAGCTCCCGGTGGCGAGGGGAAGGCCGGGAGCCGCCGCTGTGCCCCCGGAGGGGCCGCGCTGCTGGCAGAGCTCGGCGGCGCCTTGTGCTCCGCAGGACAAGAGCGGGGGGCCGGTCTGCGCCGTGAAATTGGCGCGGGGGTTCCGTGGGAAGGATCGCTTCCTCACACTGCAACCCTTAAGTTTGTGTCGCATGCGAGTCAAACACGTTTTGGCGTAACATTGCCTTTATCTTAAAAATTCAGTCAGATGCTGGATGGCTGCAGCGGTTCACTTTCTGTTAGCAACAATTTCGCTGCCCAAAGCAAAGCTGAGATCTTTAGTTGTGCATTTTCTCACCTGTCCCTACCCTTTGAAGGTAAAGATAAACTTTAAAACTCCTTGGAGCTTTATGTACTGAACTTCTTTGGAGATTTATGCACTGTGAAGGGTGTTTGCATAAAATCCCAAGCACCTGAGATTTCTGGTTATGTCTTTCCCTTCTAGAGGCAACGTGCATTACGGAAATGTCAGTCATGATGGCCTGCTGGAAACAGAATGACTTCAACGACACACCTTGTGCCGAGGAGATCAGGACCTTCTATGACTGCGTGGCAAAGGCAGAAGTAATTAAGGCCTCTTTTGTATTCTAAAAGGCTAGCAGTAGGAAAGGAGGAAGCCTCCAGTCATTTTTGTGCACCAGTAAGAATAATGTTCTCTGAACAATTTGATTGTGACCCATTTGAGCAACTAAGAGCGATGAAGCTGATGAAGAGTGATCTAGAGGCTCTTTCAGGGAGGGGCTGAGGGAGCTAGGGTTGTTTAGTCTGGAGAAGAGGCTCAGGGGAGACCTTACTGCTCTTTACTACCAACGGAAAGGACACTGTAGCCAGCTGAGGGTCAGCCTTTTCCAGACAACTGGTGATGTGACAAGAGGACATGACCTCTAGCTGTGCCAGGGGAGGTTCAGGTTGCACATCAGGAAGAACTTTTTCACTGAAAGTGCGCTAAAGCATTGAAACAGGCTGGCCTGGGAGATGGTGGAGTCACCATCCCTGGTGGCGTTCATGAAGTGACTGGATGTGTCACTTTGTGCCATGGTCTAGTTGGCAAGGTGGCCATTGGTCAAAGGTTGGACTCAATGATCTTGGAGGTCTTTTCCAACTTATTTCTGTCTTTGAAGGCTAGGCATTTTTGAAAAATAAATTTCAGACTTTTTGAAAATTAGAAAATTTTTATTATGTATTATATATTAATGTATTATAATAATACTATATTATAAGCTTGAAATAAAATAATTTTGAAAATAGACTAAAGGTAAGTATATGTACTAAACGTGTCCTTAAACTGGTTTCAGGTTTCCATTTTCTTTCAGTAACAGTGTGATAATTTAAATAGTTGTTTACTGTTGCTGTTTGATAGCATAAGTGAAAAACTATCCATAGTTTATTTGGTAGATGACAAAGAATCAATCAAAGATCAAAGAATAACGAAAAGTATAAAAGAAAAAATCTGCACTGTTGCCAGAAGTGTATATCATTGTTAACTAAGAATATGGAAGGGTATAACCTTTACAAGATGTCAGTCATTAGTCGCATCATTTAAAGGTATCAGCCTGTGATTATTGAGCCAAGTGCTATGGTAAGTGTTCCTTAAAGAAACAGTATTTTTCTGAAAGAAACGTCCCCATACAATTAGTAGTAGTCTCTGGGAATGAGCATCAACTCTGCAAATAAGTTGTGGAAAATATTTTGAGGAGTTTTTTTTTTTTTTTTCAGAAAGAACACAAGAATCAAAATGATGACACCCTGTCATCCAGGGGAAATTTGCCTTCAAGCAAAGTGAACAAGCTCCTGAAGAGGTTTCCTCAGATCACGCGTTATGTATGATGTACTTAACAAAAGGGACTGTGGACAAGCAATTAAAGTTGGGGTCTTGATCAAAAAAAGAAGAAAGTCGAGTATTTTTTTTGATGTCAAGTGGTGTGTGGATCTTGACCCTGCTTTTGATTCCAGACCAAAACCCACCCATTTTGAGTATCATCTGATTTTGTTCATGAGACTCTTGGGTCTTGCAGTGTTAGGATTTCTGCAGAGTGGTGTTCAGCTAGCCTACTCAGGTCCTCACTGTTAAATAAAACCTTCTAGGCATACATCTAAATGCATATCCTAACAGGGGATGACTTCTTCACATGCAAGCTTCTTGCCCAGCTCTGGAGCTGCTATCAAAAAGTGAGTGAGTTCAAACACTGAGCCTAGTTAGAATTTATAGTAATGATGGTATGACGGTTTGTACTCTTATGTGGGTATATACACAATCTGGTGCAACTTGAAAATTTTTAATTTCCACTGCTGTAAAAAAAGGCTGTAGAATTTAGGAAAAATCTCTAACAAAATACCTTCTTAATATGTAATACAATAGTAAGTATCAAATATAACTTTAACCTGGAAGTTTGGGATTAAGACCCTCTGATTTGCAGGTGGGACAGGTATGGTGCCATGTAAGTTTGATTATTTTGTCTGTACTGTAATAAAGCAAGACTGGTGTTGACTTGGGCAATTCATAACCTACAACAAAATGTTCCATTGTTTTGGGGTAAAAAAACTAAAAGGGGGAGAGAAAGTTCAAGCATGGACTGATGATTGAAATAATGTAATTAATTTTTAGTTTTGATTTGAGGGGGGAGGGGACAGTTACCACTACAGTACCACAAAACTATAGCAGGCAGGTTCTTGGGACCAGTACCAAATTGGTGGGAAGAACACAGTGTCTTGGAGGACTAATGTTAGAACATTTATATCAGTGATTCTTTTGGGTGTGTAGAAAAAGCAAAATAAGAGGGGAGTCAGGCACACACATACTGTGTGATTAGCCACAGGTGGCTGTAGAGTTTGCTGGATCTGAGTCCTCTGGATACCTGTTCATCACAAAGATTTTGGTCAGGTTAAAGGCTTTTAAGTTCCTGAAGCAACATTCACTTAGCTGTTAATTACAGTGGCTCATTAGTGGATTATCCACAGGGTAGCTTATTCTTTTGTTGCTATTATGGCATAATTGAGTCTTTCAGAGGACTTGGGGTCAGTAAGAACACAATATCAACATCTGAGTTTGGGAAAACACTTGGGTTCTGTGACATTTTGCATTTTCTGTCCAGAAGACACTATGAAAAGGAATACTATGCTATTCCTTCATTTCTGGAGGATACAAGGTAGATTGGAAGTGAGGAACTGATTCACTTTTGTTGATGATGATTTTTCTTTGTATTAAAACTTGGAATAGAAGTATTTATGCATCTCTTAATGTAACACCTGTGCTGAATGTACCAATTTCTAGTGTCTACAAAGAACAGTCTTGCATAAGAGGCTGTAACAGAGACACTTAATACCTTTTTCTATTTTTACTTCTGAAATTTTGCACAGCTCCCACTAATCTGAACAGCTATTTTTGCATTATACTGCTTCATGGTGAGCTTAACAAATTCAGTTTGGGGTTTGGTCTAACCTTTTATATGTCTACTGTAAACCTGAAATTACGCTGCTAAAATTTTCCAATCCTTTTATTTTTTTGAGAGGAAGGAAACTGCTTTTCAGGTGCACCCAGGTTTTACAGTGCTTCCTTGAAAAGTACTTGAGCAATTATTTTGCTTCTTTTGTTGTAACCAAAAACCCTCCAGTTACTGATTATCCTTGGCAATTTCAGCTGCTGGACATTTTCCTGTATCTCACCATTAAGCTTATTTTGGGTATTTAAATGCATTCTGTGACATGCTCATATTGAGGATCATTAGTAGTTCATGTGTGTACCCACAGGGAACAGCACTGTTCTTTCTGAGTTGATGTTTGATGCTGGAGGGTAAAGAAACTTCAGTTCTTTTGTTGAGCACACTGGTTAAGAACATTGCTGCAGAGACCTCTATGTGATTGCGTGGTGAGGAAAGAATTAAACAAAAGCTGACTTAGCTGTTCTACCCTCCTAAGTCGGATTTACAGGATTTAAGCAGATCTGCTGGAATTCCTTGATCTTATTCCTCTA